ACCTGCTCCGGCCTTTCCACAGGGGGTCTCTGGACATGGTCAGAACGATCCATGCACATCAATTGCTTAGAGCTGATGGCTGGCGCCTTTGCGATTCGCAGTTTCGCCAAAGACGCTCATGACTGCTCTCTAATTATGAGAATGGACAATGTTTCCGCTGTCCGTTATGTCAATCGTCTTGGAGGCTCCCGCTCCAAGCTCCTGTCAGACCTTACCAGAGAACTCTACCAGTTCTGTCTAAGGAGAAATATCTCCCTTCAAGCGGAATACCTTCCCGGGTTAGACAACCTCGTGGCGGACTGGTTCTCCGTCAGCTGGATCCAAAGGTCTTCTACCAGCTACATCTCCTTCGCGGGCCAATCATGTTGGACCTCTTTGCCTCCAGACTGAACCGTCAGACAAACACGTTCTTCATGATCCCTCGCACACTACACCGTCTGAGGGTTCTGGGAGTCAGGATCCTGTTAATAACTCCCCTCTGGAGAGCCCAGCCCTGGTACCTCAACCTCTTAGAGATGTCCGCAGGCTACCCTCTGCTTTTACCTCTCACCCCAGATCTTCTCCGAGATCCCTTCGGAGCATATCATCCCCTGGCCATCCAGGGACACTTCCAGCTGGTAGCCTGGACCGTTTCAGGGGATCTGGTTTGTCCCGGGCCTTTCAGGCTCAGCTCGCAACCTCTTCTGGGATTCATGGGCCACAGGTACCCGGAAATCATACCTTTCGGCATGGTCAGCCTGGGCTCGCTGGTGTTTGGAGAGGTTTATTGATCCCTTTTCAATGACTCTGGTGAATATCATGAACTTTCTGTCCTCTCTCTTTGACAGTGGCAAATCTTATTGTACTATAATCCTCTTCCGCTCTGCCATTTCGCAGCTCATAGTCCGATCAATACAGTCCCTGTCGGACGACACCCATCCGTGTGCAGGCTCCTATGGGGTATCAGTCTTTCCAGACCTCCAGCACCCCGTTACACCCACTTTTGGGATGTGGCACAAGTCTTATCCTTTCTGGAGGCCTGGCCTCCCAACTTGGAGCTATCCCAACGACAACTCTCCGCCAAGTTAGCCCTACTACTTTGCTTGGTTTCTCTACGTCGGGTTTCTGACATCAAAGCCTTCGACCTTCATGCAATTACTTTCACTCCCGAGGGAGTACGTTTCTCCATTGTCCGTCGTACTAAGGTTCCATCATCCTCCGTCTTTTATCCATACGTCCCGGATAGGCCTTCTCTGCGTGTTGCCCGTTGTTTACAATGGTAAGTCAATCTTACCACTCCCCTTCGGCCCACGTCTGGACCTCTTTTTGTGTCCTACATTCGTCCTCACCCTCCGGTGTCTTGTCCCACCATTGCTCGGTGGATCAGGTGGCTCCTCCGCCTTGCGGGCGTAGAGCCGCCCTTTGGTGCTCATTCAGTACGGGGCGCGGCCGCATCCTCCGCCTTTGTCGCTGGGAGTTCCCTTTTGGATATTTTGACCTCGGCAGATTGGTCAAGGGAATCTACCTTTCACACGTTTTATTTCCAGCCTAAAATCTCATCCGGGGTTTTCATTTACTCTCGGGGCGTTAAAACAGCAAATATGAAGCCTCCTGCCTTGCCATAAAATTAGAGATTATTCTAGAGTCAGTGACCTAATAATATAAATTTTATTAAAGACAGGAGGTGAATATTTTCCCACCCTACACGTGCTTGTTTTGCCACACGTCGCCCTCCCCCTTTTTTCTTCCAGAATGGGATATACATGTAGGGTGTTCATACTGCTGTAGTTTTGTTCATAAGCTTTATGTCTTTCATTCACATAAATATGACTATCACATCACAGGTGACTTTATGTATATATATGTGTAGTACCCCAGAAGTTTTATTTTTAGTTATTTTAACAGTAGACATCTGTATGTAGGCACCTTGCCAATCACACTGTACTTTCACAAGTTTTATCTTTTTTTTTTAGTGTGAAATGACCTTCTGCAGGACAACATCATTGAGGATCTATTCAGTTCGTTTACATGGTTGATCTCGCTTGTTTGAAGATTATTCGTTCCAGTTTACATGGTTGACGTCACTCCGGCTGCATCAAGAAAGAGGAATTGGGAGGAGTTTCACAGCCACTTATTACTGACTAGATGTGTTCTGATTGGTTGTTTCTTTTTTCAAATCTGTTTCTTTGCTGCTGGGAGGAACAGTAAAGGAACAGTAAAGGAAGTAAAGCAAATATTCGCCTCCTGTTTTTAATAAAATTTAGATTATTAGGTCACTGACGCTAGAATAATCTCTAATTATTTTCCTTTCTTGGTTTTAAACTTACCTTAGTTTTTAATTAACTTTCTAAGGTACACTGTGAAATGCATTAGAGAACTATTGGATATTTTAACCACTAATCATTAAGCTGAAGTGGTCTGGGTGCCTATAGTGGTCCTTTAAGCTCAGTCAGTAAGGTAACAGTGAATTTAGAAAATTTAGAGTTTATGAAAATAATTAATTAAAATTAATCATTGTTTAGGCACTGTGCACGGAAAGCTCCATCCGTGGCTAGCTATGATACTTGAGCCACTAACCCCTCTTTATTTTACTTGTCCCATCTCTTTCACCTCAATCCTTTTCCTTTTGCTCTCTTTCCCCATTACTTGCCCCATATCCCTAAAGACAGGTAAAAAGCAGATTCATTCAGATACACAATCATAGACACTCTTATAGATAAACATTAAGATACAACCATGCTCATAGATATACAGGTAGACAAAAATATAAACATACATACATTCAGATACACTTTCACAGATACACACATACAGACAGACACACGCACAGAGATATACGCACAGCACATAAAGAGTATTTACCTTGAAAGCCATACATACCATTCTAATTCCCTTTTCTTTACTTAACAATTTGGTGCATAATGTTGGTTTTCTCTAACAATCTGGGGCAACCATTCTCCTTAGAGGTAAATTATACAAACAACCTGATGCAGAAGTATTGTGAAGAGCAATTTGAAGGTAGTGAAGGCAGTAACTCAGTACCAAAATGTCTGCGGTAGCCAAACTTCTCAGAGGTAATATTAACAAAAGAGCATTAGCCTTGGCACCCCACGACACCCCACCCCTGGTCCTTTTTATACCCTACCATGGATTCAGAGAAAGCTTTAGTACTTCAGAACAAAACCTATAACCAGATGCATTTGTCTCCCAGAGCACACGGTTCATGCGCCCATTCTTGTAGACGGTCAGGCCCCGCCCCCAAAGCTGAGATATTACACGTAATGCAGTGCTCAAGTGATTGATATGTATATAAGTTATAACTAGAGATGTCGCGAACCGTTCGCGAACTTCCCGCGAACGGCTCGCCACGGTTCGCCACGAACCGTTCACGGCAAGCTCCGGTCAGCTGACACATCCCGGCCAATCTCCAGCAGACCCTCCCACCTCCTGGACAGCATCCATGTTGAAGGCAGCTTCAACAAGGATGCTGTCCAGGAGGTGGGAGGGTCTGGGAGGGAGGGTCTGCTGGAGATTGGCGAGCCGTTCGCGGGAAGTTCACGAACGGTTCGCGACATCTCTAGTTATAACTCTTCATATGAAGTCTCCCAAATTAAACTGGCTATATGTGGTGCTATTATCAGAGACGAGAATGAAATGGGGCTTAGAGTTAACATTAGGCATTTTAAAACTTTTACAGACAATAAAAACAGCTTATAATGTAAATGGTTATTCAATAAATTCCTATGTATGATAACTTAAGAACCAAAAAAACTAGAGGTGAAAAAAAATCTCCAAAAAAATAGATTAAAACATAAATCCAAACTGCCTGAATCAAAATATTTCAAAATGCTATTTTGACCTACATTTTGCAAATCATTTTTCACGGTTTATCCAATTGACTCAATACAATATGTACAGCAAAATGCAGGGTTTGCACAAATCCATCCAGGATAGTAAAATTATATGTTGTAGCAAATGGACACACTTGATGGCAAACTGGTTATTGTCTGCCTGTAAAATCTGTGTTTCATCATTCAATTTATATGTTGTTTTAAATTATTAGTTTACTTTTTATTTTCCAATCTTGCAAAACAACATGCTATGTAGACCTTTTAGCAGAAACAAATTACAAAAGAAAGTCTCAGCGTGATCCTTACATTTCTACACTTGACAGAAAAAGATATTTATTTAAAATGCTTCCAGTACAAAAAAGAAAAGAAATATAAAGTGACACTAAGCCAGAAAACTCAACTCAACTCAGCACTACTGGTTGGGGGAAAAAGGGGGGGGCGATCCAGCTAAGAGCATTATAACATTTTACACAGCTGAATAGATGTGGCAGACTGTGAAAATTAAATGTTTGCAGTGGGTTGAATTCCTGCTACTGGTTATGGATTGGCAAGAAATACAAACAGACAGAGTCCCACCTCCAATCCCCATCTGTCCGGATATATCATAAAAAAACTTTAAAGAAAAATGTCCGTAGCCTATCTTTGTTTAAATAAAATTGGAAAAGATGTGCATAAACGTTTATAGTTCTCAGTCCCAGACAGTATAAACATCAAATTGGTTGTCTCAAACATAACCACCTAATAGCATTTATATAAAAACACTCTAGTAAAAAGATGTGCATTGAAACCTCTATATACATGACTGCTGAGCAATCCTCTCCCCCCGTTTCCCCCAACAAAAACACATGAGACCAGAAATATGGGTAAGGGCAATGGCAACAGCTTTATTCATTTTACAACTTTTTAACGGACCAGCATTCTATCCAACTGTCAGCTGTTGGGTAACTTCCCACAACAGACAGGTACCACTTCCTTGTCCAGAGTTCGTATCAGCCTGCCTACCGCCATCAGCTTCAACATGGATGCTGTCCAGGAGGTGGGAGAATCTGGGAGGGAGGGTCTGCTGGAGATTGGCCGGGATGTGTCAGCTGACCGGAGCTCGCCACGAACGGTTCGTGGCGAACCGTGGCGAGCCGTTCGCGGGAAGTTCACGAACGGTTCGCGACATCACTACTTATTGATCCTGCTTGCAGTCTAGAAAAAGTAAGAGATATACGGAGAAAGTATAGTTTATATTTTTCAAGAATTAGACTTAAGAAAGATATTTCCTATTTATTTGTTAATAGTGTTGAGATTATTTGTTTTTATTTTAATTTTTTCTCTGATGTTTAATAATTATTAATATTTAAATATAAAAATTGTAATAACGTTCACTGAAACCTCAGAGAGCTGTACGCAGACAAGTATGCTAGGGCTTAATTTTGTATCTCATTGCACAACAGGTACTGGTTCTGACACATAAAATAGATCAGGCTGATTAACTAAAATGAGAATTCAAACAGAATTTCAATTTTAAGGCTAGAGTAGCCAAATTTATAGCATAGCTGACTTTTTTCAGCCTGGCTATTTTGACCTTACATTTTAAATTTACTTTAAATTTACCTTGAATTCTCACTTTAGTGAATAACCCAATATATACCATCTTTGGGATTATAACCGGTTTAGTCACTACAACTATTGTTGAAACAATATTTGTCCATCCCCACCTCTTTTTTTTCTTTATCTTTCTACCCCCCCTGACGTTTTATGAAACTGTTACCTGTCACGACTGCTAGTGTGGTCCAGCACACAGAACTATGTAATATCTACATAGTAAACCGGTCCTTAGAATTGCCGGATTAATACTTTGAAAGACAGAGAATGGTCAAGGGAAAGCCGAGGTCAAGGAAGCTAGAAATACACGAGAACGAAAAGAAAGCCAAGTCAGGGAAACCAGAAATCAGAGTAGTCAAGAATAGCCAAGGTCAAGATACCTTGAAGATCAAATACAAGATAAGAAAATGCACTCTCGGGAACCAGGAATGGAAACCATGACAGGGAAATGAGCGAGGGAACTTCAGGGTTTTAAATACCCCTCCTCATGCTGTGATTGGTCAGAGCGTGACCTATGAACACAGAACATGCGTGTGCACCGACGTCGTGATGTCACACGCACGTTCGCGTGACCCTGGGGGACGGAGCTATAAATGGCAGCGACCGCTAGGTTGGCACCATCTTGTTTGCTGGCAGAGGGGACAGATGCCCCAGTGGGTTGGCTCCCGGCTCGCCGAGCAGTGCGGTCGCACCGATTGGAGCCGGGGGCCGTGACATTACCTTGAATATTCTTGATCTTTTTATTGAACCTTGAATTAACCAAATAATTGTAAAAATATACACTGATCATAAACAACATTAAAACCATCTGCCTAATGGCGTGCCGGTCGCCCTCATGCTGCTAAAAAAATCTCCACAAGACCTCTGAACGTGTCCCATGGTGTCTGGCACCAAGACATTAGCAGCAGATCCTTTAAGTCCTTTAAGGAAGAGGGGGGTCTCCATGGATTGGATTTGGGGTTCCAGCACTTCCCACGGATGCTCAATTGGATTGAGATCTGGGGAATTTGAAGGCCAAGGCAACACCTTAAATTTGTGGTCCTGTTCATCAAACCATTCCTGGACAATTTTTCCTTCTGTTACCCTAGAACTCTTTTTTCTTTTTGTTTCCCTTCTGTCTCCACCCACCTTAGCCTGCTATTTTTATCGATATAGACTTTAGAATATGACTTATAAATTTTCAGAGTACTCAGGCAGAACCAATAGATCTAGAGATTAATTAACAGACAATAAATACAGGAAATGATTCTGCTATCTGGACACCAGACTATTTATTTAAAGAATTAGAAAGGAATTATGCTAAAGAAATTTAAAAAAATGGTATCTAATCTCATTAGAACAATATGAGAAAAATAACTTGGTACCTTGAGGGTTAAGAATGAATAAGAAATCCATCTTTATGCTAGATGAGATGGAATACCAAACAGCATAGGAGGAGGCCATGGAACTTTGTTCCAAAACCTTCATCAACATTCTAATTAAATATAGAGACAATAAAACTAAGCTCTACCAACAGAAGGTAGAGGATTTACAAGAGAAGCTCGAAATGTAAAAAGAGGATCCTCGGAGTATCAAAATAAAAATTAAGGTGATGGATAGAATGGAAAAATTGGAAAAAGAAACTAAACTAAAAAAACAGAAGAAACTTAAAAGAGACCAGGAGGACTATAACCTTGGCAGATGGTTTGAATCTGAGAAACATATACGACAACACGTTGGACAACAGTAAGAAGGAATTAAAAGTGGCTAGAGAAGGAACAAATAGAAAGAAATAAAAATTTCAAACATACCCCCCAAAGTATCCAGAAAAGTCATGAAAGGGCTATAGGAGTTGAAAGAGTCCAGCAACAGAAATATTTCAACCAGAACTGATACCCAGAGAGAGGAATACACATATATCCCAGGAACTATACAGAAGAAGGAGCCTACCTTAAAACAAGACCCTCTTGGAGCTTAGAGATGGAATCAGAGAACAACTCCCCCAATTTTTTAGGGAGACACCAGAGGAAAACAAACAGACATCACCCACAATGGAGAGATATGGAGGGTCTAAAGATAACCCCCAAGAGAAGCGAGACAGTATGAAGCAATCGACAAGTAAAAATAAACATAGAAAAAGAGGAAGCTGAGCAGGAATTAGAGTCCAACTGAAAAAGTGCAAGATTGGAAAAATAAATTCAATGATTAACATCTCAGACTATAGTCTGAGACAAGAAGAAGAACAGATACTCCAATATGGGCTACAATTTGCACCCACACACCCACCTAATTATTTTAACATTTTCATAGATATACAGAAGTTCATCCGTAAACTTACATTACACAGATACTTTTCAAAGCGAAATTTACCCACAAGGCTGGAAGATAAGCGATATTGGTCGTACTTCAAAGATCGTTCGGTGAGAATGAGAACGCTAAGAGGATGCTGTCATAATCAGAATACTCCTTTTATTGCATCATCAGTGTTTTGACTGTTTTGGGAACAAAGCAACTGAAAATGCAGCAAATATTATTGCCAACTACATTATGGCCTAGATTTAATATTGTTGGAAAAACATTTCAAATTATTTCATATTTTTGGATGAAATTTTCAAATGACTTAATGTCATGAAAAATATTTTATGTTTTCTGATATCTTGATATTTTTATATATTGATGAAAAAAAATATTTTAAATGTTTATCCAAAAATATGAAATCATTTGAAAAGCTTATCCAACAATATTAAATCAAGGTCTAATGACAACTATATATATATATATTTTTTTTTTTGAAGCTTTGAAGAAACCGTACAGAGTCACCTGCACTGATGTCAGGAATAATTATGTAAAAGAAAAATATTTATTAAGAATTCTAAAGTCTGACAGGTCTGTCGTTTTCTCAGACCTGTTTTGCTTCAGTTCCAATCTTGCTATTATGTGTCTTATTTCATTAGCATTTCTATCCACATCATTCCATTCATAACTCTTTGGGAATGTCACAAAGTGATTGATTGTTCTTCTATGCTGACAAAGTGCATATTTGAAATAGTTTGGTATTATGCATAATATGCAAGAGAGCTGGAATGGTAATAATTCTTAGGATTTGCAAGAGAATGCTAAATGCTCCATTGTAGATTGTACATATCAATATAATATAATATAATATAATATAATATATCTGTATGTTTGTCTATCAATCTATCCATTTATCTATATGGATATTGTTACATTTCAAGAATTTTGTATCAGGTTTGATACCTGTGAGGAAAATTCAGCATATAGGTAGTATTGCAGATTAAGGAACAGCGTGAACATAGAAATAGGTTTTTAATTTCTATAAGGCTATGTAAAATCACCTATCTCAGCAAACAAATATGGGGATTCAGTTCCACCATACGGCCATTTTGTGTTAAGCTCAACACAACTTCAAAGCGCCCCAATATCAGTGGGTCCTACACTAAATTGGTTATTCTTATTTGTTTGCTGAGATAGGTGATTTTAAGAAGCCCTATCACATTTAAAAATATATTTCTATGTGTGTTCTGTATTATCTATATATTTTGGTCTCTACGGCAGCACTATTCCTGCAAAATGCATGTTCCTGTTATGCCCCAAATTTTCTTTTGTCTTTCCCATGTAAGTAATAATGTGAAACAGAATTTACTTAATTCACGTAAGACTCCCGCCTCATTCTTCAGCACCAAAGTAAACAAATACTCAGAATTTTTTACTTCTCAGTTAATTAATTTTATTTTAACATCCAATTGAAAATGCTAATTTTGGACCTTGCAACATTCTGACATGGATAGTGTTTTTGTCAAACCTAGGTGAATATGGTGAAAATCAAACCTAAGTAGGGCAAAGTGAATGTATGACATTGTAGGTTAAAACATACTGTTATCAATAGTTAAATAATTTATACATTGATAACCTTTTCAGCGATGACCCATCTGATTTCCTTCCCCTTTGTATATGTAGACTAACATATACAATATAACTAGGACACCAGCATGTGTACAGTTTTTCACAAAGAAAGAATATATGGGTTTATTTACCACAATTGGGTAATCATTCATCTGTCAGTAATTGGAAGGGATAAAAAACAATGATTTGGTTGAAAAAATAGAGGGATTGAGTCAAAGTGGTATTTATCTCTTTAGTTCCCTTAAACACAGAATATACATAAATCAAGTTTTGTATATATATATATATATATATATATCTGATATATATCTGATATATATATATAAAGATAAGTAGCTTGGCACTAACAACACTAACAACTTTCTCCTGCTTTGTAGTTTAATGCCCTGGTGTAATGCCGTGTTAGGAGATATATATACCTTGAAAAGAGATGCACTCTCCGGTCTTTTATTAAAGAACATATTTTGAACTAAAGAAATAAATACAACTTTGACTCAATCCCTCTATTTTTTTCAAACAAATCGTTTTTTATCCCTTCCAATTACAGACAGATGAATGATTACCCAATTGTGGTAAATAAACCTATATATTCTTTCTTTCTGGTGTCCTAGTATCTGAAGTTTGTGAGTATACAAGCCATAGGAAGTGACACTGTGTCCTTATTGGAGTCATGTGACTTACACAGCCACTCAGGGAGAATCTTGAGGTAAGAGGGAGCAGCAGCGGTCTGAGAAAAGGACAAGGCCATTATGTATTTTTTTTTTTTTAGCAATAAATTCATAAAGCATCGAGTGTTATTGTCGAAAACCCATCTCCAGATTGCAAACTGACCATCAAAATGTAAACATTGATAAGCAACGTTTCCCCTTTAAGTTTAGAATGTGATTTGTGGTTCTAAATGCATTGGAATATCAAGAGATGAATATGCTGCTTACTGTTGTTTTGCCAAACTATTACATTTACAACATTAGCTCTATTCTACTTTCTTTTTGGCATGGATCTAGAACTTTAATACCCACTTGGCACACGTCCTTGATGATGGTCAGGGATTTCCTCTTCTCTAATCTCTTACCACATAGGCACATAACATGGGATACACTCGACAGCTGCAGAACACAGATGCAAGCCTTGTAAAGAAAGTTTTTGGTTCATTTTCCATTTTTCCATTTGCAAGATTATTCGTTTTTTTCTCTTTTGACAGGGCTATGTTGTTAAGACAGAATAAATAAAATGACAATTTACTTGTATGTTTAGAGGGCCGTGAACAAATTTAGGTAACATGATCTGCATTTCTACAGCCAAATAAAAGTCATAATTAAGACGGGCTGAGAATTCTAGGAAATGTAGTTCTCAAACATCTGCAGCAAGAAAACTATATCAAGGCTATATGAACTGGAAAATTTCCACTTCCGTTTCCACTTTTCCAAAAGAATAAATAAATAAATACAATTGGATGGAAGACATTCATTTTGAACTCTAAACACAAGATGTTGTTAGCAGTCATATGTTTATTTTTATCTTATTTTTTTTTTTGCATGCTACATGTTGCGAGATGACTTTATAAAGATGGATTTAAGATCTTTGTTTAATTTGGAAATGTGCGGTAGATATTTTAAAAGATTGTTTATGATATGTTATTCTATTTTATTGGTTATGCTAAAAAATACTTAATTTTACACATAAGTAACTGGAGCACTGTTAAGTAAAATATATTCTACCATTATTAATGTAAAACAGAACATGATGTAAGGTATTCCCTTATATCCAAGTTCTGCATTTCCTTGTCCATTAATCCCACTTATAATTTCAAATAATCTCACCTATCTTCTCCACATACCCTGAAATTGTCATGTAGCTGTCAGGTGTGCATGACTTCATATCTGTTTAATACCATTATCCCACTTTAGAAGATTGACATATCACCTTAATTAAGATTATACATCGTAAATTGTATTGCTATAACAATTGACTTGTGGATAGTTTTACTAAGCTGTTACTTGATTGATGCTGAATTTCTATAGCTGACAGTAGTGTCAGGATTCAAACCTGGGTACTTGGTGGTTCTGGTCCTACTTCCTACCTCTGAGCCACAGTAGCTTTGTTTCTTTCCAGCTATTTCAGTTCTATTGATCCTGGCTTGTCTGCAGCACTGGGGGATGGCCCTTGTTGTTAGCCGTACATCATCTGATCCTGATCAGATATCAGCAGGGTATATAAACTCAGCCTTGCCCTGTGATCTGGATCAAGTCTTTGATCCTGTTGTGTGTGTTCTGTACCAGTGTTCCTGTCTATTGATTCTCTGCTTCATATTGACCCCGGCTCCTGGCATCGTTTACTCTGACCTCTGGCATCCCTTGACTCCGGCTATTCCTCGTTGTTCCTGTCCTCTGGCATCCTTTGACCTTGGCTATCCCTTGACTATCCTGCTGTTTAAGTCCTTGCCTGTGCTGCATTTTAGAACTTCATCCTGCACAGCCCCGTGCACAGATCCACAGGCCAGGTGAATTCTTACCTGACCACCTTGGCCTGTGGCTATTTGCAAGGGTGAGCATCATATCTGCGCTACAGACTCCCAACTCAGGTAAGACCTTGACATAAGACTTGATCAATATGGAGTCCACAGAGATGAGCTCACCCCTGTTCCAGCAAGTGTCCAGCCTGGCTAGACTGTTTCAGAGCTGCAACGAGAATTTTTTTTCTTAAAGGCGCAGTACACCCAGCCCCGAACATATGTCATAGATTTCATCAAGGTCAGACTGGCTATCAACCTGTTGTCTGGACGCATCAAAGAATGGGCTCACCAAATGTTGATGACGAAGAGTCCTGTCCTTGTCAGCTGGGAATCCTTCACTACTGCTATGGAATCGCAATGCAAGACCACTGTGTCAAAGCCTGTTCCACATACCAAAAGACCCCAGATTATTAGAAACCAAGAAACCCAGTACCAACGCTACACCCCAGTGTTGCCTCCTTGCGATCCTATTCCTAGGAGAACACCAGAGGTATCCTGTGTTCCTATTGACCCTGAGGAACCTATACAAATAGGACTCGTCCACTGCAAAGTGACGCGTGAGGAAAAAGACCAGAAGAGAGGCCATGGACTATGTTTCTATTGTGGAGAAAGAGGGCATTTCATCTCTCTCTGCCCAATTCGTCCACCTAGGCAAAGACCTCTTCTATTGGGTGCCCTACGGACTTATCCAATCAACTCAGAGATACAGCCTAGAAGCTGCCAGCCTTGTCCCCATTCTGTAATACAGAAGGGTACTCAGACTGTAATGAATAACCTACCCCTGAGAGTACCCCTGAGAGATCTGAACCTCCACCTAAAGAAGAGTTATCTGGTCCAGAGAATAAGACTCGCACCAAATCCTTGACCGATCTTAACCTCTCTCCAGTAGTTCCTGAAACATCTGCTCCTTGTTTGGTGGAGAAACTTCCTCCTCCTGGCTGTACCTACACCTCGAATGGGACTCTAGTCTGTAATGAGGACTTACACATTTTTGAAAAGGCTCTACAGGCTATGTCCTCCACTCCAGTTGCTTTTCTTTTCTCGCCTAAAGGCGGCTTTGAGGAGGGGGTACTGTCAGGATTCGAACCTGGGTACTGGCTTGTCTGCAGCACTGGGAGATGGTCCTTGTCATTAGCCGTGCATCACCTGATCCTGATCAGATATCAGCAGGGTATATAAATTCAGCCTCGCTGTGTGTGTGTCGCTCGTACCAGTGTTCCTGTCTATTGATTCTCTGCTTCATATTGACCCCGGCTCCTGGCATTGTTTACTCTGACCTCTGGCATCCCTTGACTCCGGCTATTCCTCGTTGTTCCTGTCCTCTGGCATCCTTTGACCTCGGCTATCCCTTGATTAGCCTGCTGTTTGAGTCCTTGCCTATGCTGCGTTTTGGAACTTCATCCTGTACACAGGCCAGGTGAATTCTTACCTAGCCACCTTGGCCTGTGGCTATTTGCAAGGGTGAGCATCATATCTGTGCTACAGACTCCCAACTCAGGTAAGACCCTGACAGGTAGTGAGTGAAATATGTGGTGTTTTTTTTAGACATGTGCAGTTCGTTTCGTTCTGAATGTCAATTCGGACATTCGGAGACTTCCGAATGTCCGAATAGCTGAAGTCCCGAATTTCAGAATGCCAAACCAAATTTTTTTTTTCCCATGCACATCCCTAGTTTTTTTTCATAATTTTCTTTTACCTTTTCAGAAAAGACCGCAATAAGCTTTGCCTTAATACTGACCTTTACAAAGAATTTATATATCTTAGTAATTTATAACTTTACTAGAGAGATGTAAAACATATGTAGTATATGCAACTAGCTAAACCGAATTGTTAGCTTTATAATTATTTGCATTGTCAAGTAACTGAATGTCAATTCGAACGAATTTCGGCAAATTCTGAGATTTCTGAATGTCCGAATAGCTGAATTGCCGAAGTTCAGAATTTCGGAATGCCTTACCAAATTTTTTCCCCATGCACATCCCTATTTTTTTTTTTTTTTACCTTTCAGAAAAGACCGCAATAAGATTTGCCTTGATACTGACCTTTACAAAGAATTTATATATCTTAGTAATTTATATTGGATATCTCGGACAAGACTAGAAAAACACCATACTGTATATGGATACCAGTCAGGTCTGAGAGCTCAGGGAGAGAGGGAACTCACAATTTGATGGATAGGAAAGATGGAAGTTCAAAATTATATAGTTCTTAAAGGGGGAATGAGAAGTCATTGTAGAGTGCTTTAGAAAAGTAATTCCCAACCTTTTCTTGGACCAAGGCACACTTCAATCAGAGAACAACTTTGCATGCGCATTCGGCTCCAGTGATGTCAGACGGGGGAGCTGACGTCGGACGGGGAGGGGAGGTCACCAGCGCCGATCGAGCCCGGCACTGGCTTAAGATAAGTAGGTGAAGGGGTTTTAACCCCTTCAGCGCCAAGGGAGGGGGACCCTGAGGGTGGGGGCACCCTCAGGGCACTATAGTGTCAGGAAAACTGCTTTGTTTTCCTGACACTAAAGTGATCCTTTAAATTTTGCCATCTATTATTTATTATATAAAATAAGTGTTAAAGGGACACTATATTCACACAGACCACCATTTTATTTTATTTTTTTTGGATTACAGACACTGATGATTATTTTTGTAATTTTGTCTTAACAATAATTATATATACAATAACATCCATAGAAAATATTTGTAAATTGACAGAAGTTACTACCATTAATAAAAAAATAAGGTCACAAATGTAAAGATCAAGAGATATACTAGAATCCCTCAATATAAGTCAACATTGTAATTTAGACTGACCTATTGTTTCCTATACCAATCGTAATTTGCTTGCTTCATCTTAAACACATTCATATTCATTCATTCATTCATTCATATACCATTATTTAAATAGCTGGAAAGGGAAAATCAGGAGGTGGGGTAGATCCCATAAGTGGATGGTATCACAATTCGTCACCATCTCTGTATTATTTACATGTCATTATTATGATTCTGACAGGAATTACGCTCCCCTAGAAGTCTCGTCTCCATATTATATTGATTAGACATGTGCACCAGTGAAATTTTGTGCACCAGTGAGCCAGCAGTGCTACCAGCTCCCTCCTTGTAATAAACATTAACCATTCCTACCCCCCTGAATTAATATCTATGGGGATCACTATGACCCCCATATTAATAAAAGGGAAGTTAAATCCTCCCGCATGCCCCTAATCACGGCATGCCGTGAGAAGGGGCATGTAGCCTAAACACCAAGCAGCCAGTGGCGCTCGCTGTCATTTAAAACTACTAGTGACTGGGCAGCTATTGCTAAAATAGGCGGCATGTCGCGAGTAGGGGCATGCGGGAAGATTTAACCTCCCTTATATTAATATGGCGGTCATAGTGACCCCCATAGGTTTAATGGAATTTATATTTATTACAAGGAGGGAGCTGCTGGCTCCCTCCTTGTTTTTCTTTCGCGCATGCACAGTGCTATTTTCTACAAACACAAGTTGAAAGACAAAACGCCCTTTCATTTCATTTATATTTTTGTTTAAGTTTTAGTAAACTAATACAAAAACCTGAATTTCCGTTGAAATCATATTCATACGAAAACGAATGCACATGTCTAATATTGATAGTCTATTTGATTTAAGATTTCCTTCCATATTAAAGCATCTGGCTTTTTCTAGTTCCTTGTAATACACAATTATGTGGCCATAAATATATGCACCAACAAGCTCTTCTGATAAGAATTACACATTAGGAAAGTGATATGGAAAAAGAACCACTGTAAAATCATAAGTTAGTCCTGGATCATAGTACTCAAAAGATTCCTCAATTTTTCATGAATAGGTGTCAAATCATTGCACTTCCACCATATATGCATCAAAGAATGCCTCTCCATACAACATCTCCAACATAAGGACGAAAACTGAGATTGTATCCTGCATAACCTTGTGAGAACCAAATAGCTTCTATAAACAAACTTAGAATGTGTTTCCAACAAGGATTTGTATATATTCACTAACAAAATTATACCTTGTATCCAATCATCTTGTGTGTGTGTGTGTGTGTATGTATGTATGTATGTGTGTGTGTGTGTGTGTGTGTATATATATATATATATATATATATATATTGCCTAGGTCTCACTCCCATCTATACTTTTTTTTTTTTTTTTCCAAAGGTACCTAATTCTGTAGGAGTTAAGAGATCTAGACATCAGTTTATTTTTTTATTATTTATTTTAAGAACGTAATCTACATCATGATTCTCTATTATGTTTCTATTCCCCCCAAAATTATTAAGTCTTACGTTTCTCATGCTGGTAGTCCAAATTGTGTTTCCAACTGCATTAATAGGAGAATAATTCCCTTACTAACCAAGCAGAACACCTCTGTTATATTATTTAGTTTCTATTTTCGTAAGTCGATATATCCAATCAAAAGTTCTAGTCATTCCACAGGAGTAAACAGTAGCACCTAACTTTGAATGTTAATTCATTTTTTTTTTTTTTTTTAAATGTTTTTAATCATGGCCAACTTCCTCTCAATTATTGGACTATTTACCCTCAACTACTTGCCCTTCAAACCAAAATAAATGATAAGGTTCAAACTCTTTATATCAGGCTTCTCCATCTACATTCAAAAAGGCCCCTGAGGAGGATGATGACTCACATGCCAAGAGATGCCCCAACTTAGTAGCATTATATAATGCACAAATATCAGAAAGGCTACAATCCCTTCTCCAGCTGTTTTTCAAAGAGTGCTTATTGAGATTCTGGGTTTCCCTCCTTGCCATATGGATTCAGATATTATCTTTTGAAATTTTATTATGAATTTTGAATCCACATCTAAAGGAATATTTCTAAACCGACATACTAACTTAGGAACTATATAGGAATGAATCACATTCAATCTACCAAACCAAGAGATTTATAATCATTTCTAATAGGTCAGGGTATTTCTTACATCAGTTAATAAATAAACAAACATAGTTAGTACGAACCATTTAATCATGATCTAATATCAGTTTTATCCCCAAATAGTCAATTCTGGTTGCTTCCAATCAAAATGAAACTTATTTTTTTAAGATTTGTAAGTCAGCATCAGGGATGCTGATATTTATTTACTTATTTATCTTATTACATTACATTTTTCTAAAATCATGGATCAAACTAAAAATATCTGGTATGGATTCCAAGGAGCCCATCAGGGACAAGAACCCATAATTTACATATAGTGACATTATTCCCTTTATCTCCCTTGTCTGCCTAGTTAAGACTGCCAATGGTTATATCTATAAAGTGTACAGCAAAGGAGACAAAGGACATCTCTGCCTTGTTCCATTGTTTATTCCTAAACCAATCCGATGGAAACATAAAAACAGAGCACCATTTTTAACTTTTTTTTTTTATTATTGCAAATGAGGTGGAGAGACCCATATAGAGTGACAATATATGGTTAGAAATACAGGTTACAGGTTGATAACAGCGCAACTGCGATAAATATACTTACACTAGGACTAACTTATTCTCCAAGTTCAGCTAAAAAGGCATACATCAAGTAATATACACTGAGAAAAACTATAAATGCAACACTTTTGTTTTTGCCCCCATTTTTCATGAGCTGAACTCGAAGATCTAAGACTTTTTATATGTACACAAAAGGCCTATTTCTCTCAAATACTTTTCACAACGCTGTCTAAATCTATGTTAGTGAGTAGAGTTCAGCGAACCCTAACACCCCGGACCCGAACACGGACATATCACTGTTTGTTCGGGTTGGAGTTCGGTGTTCGTGATTTAATGGCACGTTTTCAAAGGCTGCAGGGCAGCCAATCAACAAGCATTTGACTCGTGTGCCCTTAGAAGCTTGGCCAGTGCGGCTTGTGACCCAGCCTCTATACATAAGCTGGAGTTGCGTAGTGCCGCACGCACATGAGGTTTTATTAGTGTAGGGAGAGGATGCTGCCGCTGTGAGGGACAGCTTAGGAAAGAATTCAGCAAACTAGTACATTAGTGGGGTGCACTTCATATCTGAGAGTCAAATAGAAGCTTCAAATACCGCGGTTACATCGGAGTTTTTAAAAAGTCCATTTTTTTTTTTTTGTGCTAAATAGTACATTAGTGGTGTGCAGTTCATATCTGAAGAGTCAAATAGAATCGTCAAATACAGCTTTCACATTGAAGTTTTAAAACTTAAAATTTTTTGGGTGCTAAAAAGTACATAAATGGGGTGCACTTCAAATCTGACAAGTCAAATAGAAGCGTCAAATACTGCTGTCACATTTTTTGCATGCTAAACTGTTAAATAGTATTTTAGTTGGGTGCACTTCATATCTGAGAGTCAAATCGAAGTGTCAAATAGTGCGCTTACTGCGCAGTTGTAAACATTCTAATTGTTTTGCTGCTAAATAGTACGTTTTGGGCGTGCTCTTCATATCTGAGAGTCAAATAGAAGCATCTAATAGTGTGCTTACAGCGCAGCTGTCAACATTCTAATTGTTTTGCTGTTAATCTGCTAAATAGTAAATTTTGGGGCCTGCTCTTCATATTTGAGAGTCAAATCGAAGCGTCAAATAGTGCGCTTACTGCGCAGTTGTAAACATTCTAATTGTTTTCCTGCTAATCTGCTGCTTACATTGGAGTTTTAAAAAGTCAATGTTTTTTTTTTTTTTTCCTTGCATGTGGTAGCCGTTTCTCAGGGTCCCTGTACAGAATGGAACCCTGATTCCCCGTTACCCGTGGTCACCATGGTAGGCACAGAAACTGGCATCGAAAGTTGATATGGATGACATCCGAATGCAAAGTCGCCGTCACGGGGATGTACGATTGGCCTGAGGTTCTCTAGAGTCAACAAAATGCCTGCGCGACTATAATGTCAACAGCTACTCTGCGGAACAGAGTTGTGTTTTTTTTTTTTATATGTACCAATATTTTGTGGGCTACCACAATTAAAAAACAAAACAAAAAAAACCATAAAAGTAACTTATTGGTCACATTTACAGTATATCGAAGATTGGTAAGTACAGTAGATATACTGTGAGTCTATACATGTAGATACAGCAGGATAGAGTATTCATACCCTACTGAGAATGCAATCTAAGTTTAAATATTGTTTTAATATATATTCGTTTACAAGGTGTTTAACAGTGTAAGTGACTTCCGTACAAAAAGGAAAACATAACCGTGGATATAATTAAAGGAAGTGCTCTCTAACATCCTAAAACACATTCCTGCCCTAGACTAAACCAATTTATAACAGGTTACTCAAGACATGTTTAACACCTGCAGCACCAGGCTTTCACAAATCTCTTGTTATTGTCCCAGTAATTTTCCCTGAAGCAGGAAACTCTATTCAAACGATAATATACCAGATACACTCACTAGATGGCAGCATACTACTATAACTATACACAATATGGCAACAACATAGCTTATATCATGACAAGAATAAAATTAAGTATATATTTCTTAGCCTTGTATAAAATATTGGGGAATGAGACAAAAAATTCATCTTATATGTGGGCACATTATAGTGTAATCTAAAATTAATTGAGTCCATAAATTAATATTGTAACAAGCCTGAATTTAAAAAAATGTTTTTTTTTAGCTCTTCTGATTAGTTTATTAATAACAAAATCTTTCTCATAAACATTTTGGAAGGGAACAGACTAAAGCCAATTACTTGTTATCTGGATTTCTATTTAGAACAGGAAAAAGAGGGCTCCATCCTGGGGAGAATTTGTTTTTAAACAGTTAAGGAAATCAAGGAATCTCACTGTCTAATTCATGATAACATTATTGAGAAAGGGTGTAGCTTGATAGAGGGAGATAAATGACATCAATCTTAGACTATGAAGGCCAACATGTCACACTCTAGCTGTTGTAGCACTAATACTGCTACAATGGGATGAAATTGTATGCATCAAAAGGACACTTATTGGTTAAAAGGACACTATAGTCATCAGAACCACTACAGCATAATGTAGTGATTCTGGTGTCTATAGTCTGTCCATGCAGGACATCTCAGGGATAGAGTTGTATGGAGTGTCTGTGTTTAAAGATAGGAGTACATCTTAGCAGTTTGTGTGAGATTTTAGGAGTGCATTTGTGAGTGTGAAGCAGGGTTGTATGTGTGTAGAGAGTAAGCATGTGTAAATGATGAATTGTATTTAGAAATTTGTCTCATCATGTGTGTGAACAAAGGGTTGAAATCTGTTTCATTGTGTGTGTGTGACTGAGGAGTGTACTTGAAACCTGTGTATGAGTATGGAAGATTTATTTATATGGTGCAAGTGTTTTGATTTGTTTATTGATTCTCCCACCTCCTTTGGTGCCCTTTTCCCCATGCTCCACCACTTTTGTCTTTACGTCCCTGACCTGTTTGTATTCACATTATCTTCTCTTTGGTCTGACAGACCTTGCCTCCCCATCAACCATCTACAGTGACTTTCACAACTGCCACAAGTTACACCCCTCCTTTCCAAACACCCCACTAGTGTCTCTCACATTTCTCCCCATCCCTGACACAATTTTCCAACACATCCCTTTCATTTTGTGCCCCTTCTCATCTATGTATACACACCACTGTGTGCCTCTGCCCCATTACATCCATTCATGCAACATGTGCTGCTGTCTTTTCACCCCTCAACCCCTGTCTTTCCATCAGCTCAGAATTTATTTCTACCCATCCTTTTAAAGCATTTCTAGTTCTCTTTTCCATTGCTATCCCATATACTTATCATGCCCTCCCTAAGTCCCTTACCGTAATTTTCTCCCTCTGATTGCTCCCCAAAATCTATTCTATTATCTATTCCTTACACAGTTTTCCTATTGTCTGTACCTTACATAGTTTTGCACTGTTTGCCTCTCTTCTGATTTTCTATTGCTTTCAGAAATTTTCATTCTCTCACCATCTTCCCCTTTTCTCTATCTACCTCTCTTCATGTTCCCTGTTGTCTCTGCAAGTCTCCTGCTCCATCACCTTGGTAGTTGTGAAAGGTCTCTATGTAAGAGGAGAGTTCAGGAAGTGATGTCACTTCCTGGACTCATGTCTTTCCATTACACAGACCTAGCGGAGAGAGCAGGTCTCACTTAGTGTGTGAGAGGGAGGATGGGGACCACAGGACCCTTATTATCTTCTGCACGGTCTGGCATCTTTCCACTTGGAGAGATCTTTGATCTCCCTAGCAGAATCATGACTGTGTTTTAATGTAATTACCTGCTCTTGGCAACAACAGGGAGTACTTACTATTTGGCCTGGCAAATAGCTCCCTCTGCTGGTTTGCGCATGGCTAAAATCCTTTTCGCTGTTTTCTTACCTGCATAATATTAGATGCTGCCCATTTAATTGGCACATCTTTTATAAATTCAAATGCTGTGATGTCAAGCCCGCCCTCAAAGTTACCACATCATCTATTATCAACAATTTGGAGTCGCAAAGATGACATGGACCAATTAGAAACATTGCTAGCCTATATGATGCTAATATGGGCCCTTATTCCTTACTCTATCATGGTTTCTGCCTTGATACATGTTGGTACTTATAGTAAGTCTCTTCTAACTTTGTGTATTTCTAGAATCCTGACCCGGCTTGTTATTGTAAATTACGTTTTCGGTGAGATCGGGATAGTGATGGCCACCTAAAATGCCACATCAGGACTATTGTGTCAGGAATACATGTTTGTATTGCTGACACTGTGGTGTTCCTTTAAGCAAAAGAAAATTTAAAAGAACACTGAGCATAGACAACACATAATAGCCTGTCCTATAGTTAGTTCTCACTCAAATCTCAATTAGGTTTTTGTTCAGTTTTGCTGCAGAGGAAACTTATTATTTGCATACAAGATCAATCCCATACATCACCAAGGATTCCCTTTCTATATAGAGACCCATGTGGTCCAATTAAATGGTTATATATGCACATTGCACTGCATATAGCGCTGAATACAGGAAAACAAAGTAATATAAATAAATAGCCTCCTACCGATATACACACACAAATCCCAGCCTCCTACTAATAGTTTACCAATAAAAAAACAACTTTGTGACCACGAAGTACTAGGTAATTATGAACCAAGGTTCAGTAAGGACCAATGATGTGTATGGCACATCAATTCCAGTAACTTTGTGCATTGCACTGTGAACTATGATCACCCGATAAACTGTAACTTGCTGCTCCAGTAATAGAACATGTCTTGCACATCCATGGAACCATCCAGGTTGCAGTTGTCCCAAAAAGAGATTCTTCAGTCTCGGCTGTGCATCTGTTCAGCTTCTTCAGAGTTACCACTTATGTCTTGGTTCTTCTCAGACTTGTGTTCCATACTTGGTGACATTTAGTGCATGGAACTTTCTAGGTAAAGGTGTGATTGTGACTTATTCTTTCCATTTATTGGTGATGTTCACAGCTCAATATGTTTGTTTCCAACCCTGTCCTAATTAGTACTCCTAGAGAACTTTATTCCTCAGAGGAAACTTGACAGCTATTCAGTCTTCATGATGCTGTGCATTGAGATATATAATATAACAAATTCTAGGGCAGACCAGAAACGACTGTATTCAGTTGCTCATGTGGTGTTTTATTTGCATACAAGTGTACTCTATTCAACTTACTACAAGGTTTCTGAAGGAAATTTGTTGCACCAGAGTTTATTTGTTGGTTACAGAGCAACAGGGTTGAATACTAGTTAAAGTTCCTAGGTATGGCGACAGTTGCCATATTTAATTTTTTACTTTTTTTCTAATGTGCTGGTATGTTACAAAATATACATTGATTCTAAGTTTTGTATTTATTATTTTATTTTTTTACCACTCTAACAAATGAAAAGTGGGCTGCAGTGGGTGAAGGCAGTTAGTTTCATAAAACCTCATAGTTGTAGAAAGATTTGTGGGTGTTATGATATTATCAAGTATATGAGTAGTCTCCTACATTTTTCATGTGCAAGCGTATGCATGTCCTGTTTTATGTTCTTTGATGGTTTCACGTAAACCGCAAACTATAGCAAAATAATGCACTCAAAGATCGAAATAACTTTTTTTTTTTTCTTCTAGAGTTGAGAAAGAATGACCATTAATTTTTTTGGTATGTTACAAGGGGGGAGGGGCTTGGCTGCCGACCGAGCAGGATGCATGCAACAGGGGTTCCACGACAATATCCACCAAAAAAGCTGAACTTACAGCCATATAGCTAGATCCCCATTTATGTTATGCTCTGAGGACACCATCTCCTTGCTTTGAACAGCAGTGTCCTGTAATTGTTGTGGGAGTCCCTTGGTCTTTACAGGTGTGTGTGACTGGTCTCAACTGGGTCTTCCAATTTTTAAGTTGCATTCAATACACCTTTAATACATCTTCAATACACCTTGCTTGACATATTGCTATCACCTACCATACATTTACTACTCAGACAGTGGAATTTCAGCTGTTTTACATTTTGTTTGTCTTTTTTTAGTTGGAACTTGCAAGTTTAGTACCAGTTATAAATGATGAGGTTTCTGTTATGTTTACCTGGTGGATCCTTATCCTAGGCCTAATTCAGGATAGCATTTCAGATTTTTAAGCATATGAATAATTTAAGCATTATTATTTGTTTAGCGGACCACGGGTAACCCGACTGGTTCCCTCTGCTAATTCCTTCTCTCAGCCAGACTGGAACCATTAAAGTAAACAGACATCAATTCCCCCAGTAACCAGACGAAACATAGCTCTGGGAGTCAACAGCTTTTATGCACAGACCCCTACATGGGGTCTCCAATGCAATAACACAAGGGTTTCAATCCCAGGGTCTTTTGTGCCTGAGAGATAATTGTGTGGGAAAACCCCTTAAGTTAATTATCTCTCAGGTACAGAAAATCTACACAAGATATATAGTACCCCAAAAGTGCCCCAACCATAACCAGGAACCCCACAAAAGTCATATCCCCGGATGGCCAGGTCTGAGTGTATAACACATCCAAATATCACTCAGATTGATTTGGTGAAATGGGAATGCCATCAAGGTAAAGTTTTGACCGGCCGGACACAAGGCGCTAGCCCAAAACAGTTCCAGGGAAATAGGTGTCATGGCCGGTCTCTGTTTGGGGGTTCCTGTGCGAACACCATGCAAGGGATTCTCTTACTTTTAGGGAACAAATGCACCTCCTGTTCAGTAATTCATATCTCCTGAACGTCGTTCGCATAGTTGGTCGGGAAATTGAACGGGCAGCGGTCTAACTTTATCGGGGTTCGTGCGAGTGCCTTGCGAAAAAGAGTTCCAGGCACTCAACGACCAAGTGCTGCTGCCCACGTTTTGGAGACGAAATGGCCACCATTCTTTTGTCGACCACATTAATTCAGTTTTACAAAATGGTGACCACCCAGGGGTAGCATTCATTAATTACTTCCCTTGTGGTTTTGCACTTAAGTTGCTGGTGTGAGCATTCTAATGGGGTACAGGGGTGGTCCTTGTACAAGAGACGAATGGAGGAAGTTTGTATATAATAACACCCGAACGGAGGCTACTTATTTTACTACATTACATGTGTACCTTATGCCACATTGAATCCACTTTTAATTTGTCTCATGGTGACATACTTATGCCTCTATGTATTTCAATGCACTACAAAAATAAATATTTTTTTTAAAAAGTGTATATATAAGAAAAAAAGTAACTGCCTTAAAGAAAACATTTAGAGAACAAACATTCATGCACAGCCAGTAATATACAACATCCTTATTTATTTAGTTTTTCTATTCATTTTTCAAGGAAGCATTAAGCATATGATAAACTGCAAATATATTCTGTTAATTTATTCTCATTTTTGCATTTCCTGGTATTTTGCAATAATCTCAATTATTGTTGCATTCTTGTTGAAATATGCCAGTTACCTTCAAACAGTTCTGATGACCTACCATCTCCATAAAGTCAATTACAGATAAACAACATGTGCATTTATTTTGTGATGAATCATCATCTGTCTGAATTTTTGACGATTCCTTGATTTGCCCAAATGAAGGATGATCAAAATGGTGCAATGACTAGATTAATGAAAAACGATAAATGAATCGAATGAACAGTGTATCATGGTCTTGAGCAGGTCAGGTAAGAGACTTATTCCAGGGTTAATGTTTAATAGTTTATTGGAGACGTTAGACATATTTACACACAATTGATATACTTAGCAAGTCAAAGAAGGAGGTAAGTAAAGAAGGGAGAACAGAAAAGAAATTTAGGCAAATGGTAGCCGGAAGACCTATAAACGGAATTATAGCTAAGGTTGAAGGGGAACCTGTAAGTGGAATTATAGGTAAGGTTGAAGGAGAACCTATAAGCGGAATTATAGGTAAGGTTGAAGGAGAATCTGTTATGGGCAAATGCAAATGTTACAAGTTTTAGAATTAAATGTTGTAATTCTTAAACTGTGTACCTTGTCTTTAAGAGATATTGCAAACTGACAAGGTGTTAGAAATGGAACATTGTTTTTCATAGATGTTTCTTTAAGCAATAACCTCAGTGCACATTATGTTTACACCATTTTGTCCCAGACGAATTACAATAACAATAATGCATAAACAAGCTTCAAGGCTATGCTACGACTCTTTCAGTACATAATATACTGTGGTAACCTTAGTAGATAAGGATGTTCAGACTTTAAGATGCCATCTTGAATTAAGTCAGGAAAATTTCCATGACGTATACACCTTTTAGTTATGGCCTTGTATTTTTGCCAAGGTAATGGAGGTCCTAAAATGAAAAAAGTAAAGTTACTTTTTCATTTATGAACTACGGTAACCCTAAAATGGAGACACCTAAGGTATAAATAGGTGTAATTTTAAATGTTAAGACACAGAGGAGAGAGTTGGAGACAGATGCTGCTCCATCTTAAAATGACAGAGAGGCTGACATGATGACATGTTCAGAAGGGTATGTTAACCTATTAATGATATTTGCAAGCATTTAGTTTAAT